CCCTCCACACACACACTCCAGTCGGGAAGCCTGTCTGCAGAAAGCTCACAGTCAGGGGAAGAGTCCAGGATGAACTCATCTGTGCTCCACGGATACATATCTCCCAGAAAATGACCATCCTTCGGGGCCACGGAGAACTCATCACCCCAACCGGAAGGACCATCCGTGGATAATGGGGTCTTAGGGGCCTGCACGTTCACTGTCCTCTGTGTCTGTTTAAACGTAATGAGACGTCACTTCTCCGTGGCTAATTGGAAAAAGCATCTTATTTCCCTAATTTGTGAAACTGCTCTAAGAAGCAGAAAGCCAGAGGGGAGATAATATAATAATTACAGAGGAGAAGGAACTCACGAGTTGATGAACTCATCTCGTGAGAAGGCCCAGCTTGTGAGATCTGAAGGAGGTCCTCCCTGAGCTCCCTGCACCAGCCCACGAGTCAGAGGGCCTCGGGTTAGAGCCCGCGTTTTCCCAAGTAAAAGGCTGAGGTTATTTCCACAGACAGAAGATAAAAAGAGTGAGGGCCAAAAAGTTATGAACTTTACTTTCAAATAACAACATTGGATAAAAAGATTAATTACTCTTTAGTTCAGTTCAGTCGCTCAGTTGTATCCGACTCTTTGCGACCCCATGGACTGCAGCACGCCAGGCCTCCCTGTCCATCGCCAATTCCCAAAGTTTATGCAAATATTGAGTCGATGATGCCATCCAACCACCTCATCCTCTGTCATCGCCTTCTCCTTCTGCCTTCAATCTTTGCCAGAATCAGGGTCTTTTCAAATGAGTCAGTTCTTCGCATCATGTGGTCAAAGTATTGGAGCTTCAGCGTCAGTGATTAATGACTCACATCAACAAAACCTCCTAAGTCCCGTGAGGCTGCAGGCACTGGGGCACCGGCCCTGCTCCCGGGGAGGTGACGTTCAGGCAGAGTGAGACCTCATCCACGAGGAGACAACGCGATCAGAGAGTAAGCACCGAGACGACCACAGTGTGAACGAAAGTGGGGCGGGGCGTCTGCGACAAGGCCCAGAGGAAGCAGACACCTGAGGTCGCAGGTGAGGAAGGGAGGACCTGACGGCTTCACGCAACTGGTACTTGTGCACGAATGCTCTGGGCCCCGCAAATAGAGGAAATGGACAGACAGAAGGTCCGATCAGGTGGATCAAGGCAGAAGCACAGGGCAAAGGCTGGGAGGCAGCCTAGCCCCAGGTGCCAGGTCCCTGGGGACGTCACCCAGTAGGTCACCCCAGGAGGTCCACCCCCGCAAAGACTCTCCCTCCGTCCACAGCCTCCACCTCTGTCTGTGCTTCCTTCCAATAGGGACTTCCAGCGTCCATCCCAGGAGTCTGACTCAGAAGGCCTAGGGGAGGCCAGGGGAACAGGCAGGCTAAAGGTTTCAAAAGCAATTAAACAGTGAGCCAATAAATGGAACAGACAATTCACCAAAGAAGATCTGAGCATGACAAACCAGTAGATGAAAAGATGCTCAACATCCGTAGTCAACAGGGAAATGCAAATTATAACCCCATAAGATGCCACTACACAGCTGTTTTTTAAAATACTGAAAATTAAACAGATTGGCAATACCACGTATGACAAGGCCGTGGAGCAACTGGGCCTCTCACACATGGCGAACCGGCAGGGCCACCCGGGGAAAGGGTTTGGCAGCCTCTCATAAAGTGTACAAACATATACTTACCATACCGCCCTGCATCTCCACGCCTAGATGTCTTCCCTAGACTTGCACATGGCGGTTTAGGGCAGATGTACGTCCTAACAGGCCCAGCCAGCACCATCATGGACCAGCTGTAATGTGTCCAAGCCTAACCCCTGCAATGCCACAAACCAGCACCTGACTCTCGCCGCTTCTCACTGAGACCAGCACTTCTAGACTTTTCCTAAAGCCTCTTGCTTCCGTCCCCTGGTTCCCCCACAGGCAGGCACCCCTGGGCCAGGCCCTGCGCAGGGGTGCAGCAGCTGGAGGAACGTGTGGGAGCTGAGGGAGGGGCCGCGGAGGCCCAGTGCCGGGGCCCAGGGGCTTCCACGGGGATCGAGGTCCCAGCCTGTTACATGTGACACCAGCCGACCCCGGCCAGCGGGGCCTGGATCCCGCCTCTGAATCTGGGAGCCCACAAGCTCAGCTCTACACAGAGAGTCTCCAGTGGCAGGAAAAACATAACGGTAAAGATAAACTAAAGGTCACATGGCAGGCTCTATTTTCCATTTAAAAAAATACCTTAAAACGAGGTTATAATATGTGATCTCTCATTTTCCAGATACAATAAGCACAGTTATTGAAAAGGACAATCAAAGAGAAGTACCTCAAAATGACTACTTCTGTGGGAAACTAATTTTCTCCTTTTGTGTTTTGTAATCTAAAAGCACTTTGGCTTTAATAATCATGTTTTTTTTTTAACAAACACTGCACAGCAAGAGATATCAAAATTTAAAACTGCATTTACTAGAGCAATCAAGATGAAAAACAAATATTTAAAACAATGAGAAAACTCAATTTTAAAGAGATGCCATTTATAATAGCAACAAACAATATGACAATGAAGAATAAATCTAATAAAACATACATGGGACCTTTTATGGAGCAATTTCTAAAACTTCATTGAAAGGCATTAAAGAATGGTCTAAGAAAATGGAGAATTAGCATGTTCATGAAAATGAAGACTAAATTTCACACACAGGTCAGTTCTCCTGAACTGATCTATAGATTCTGTGCAATTCCAATCACAAATCAAACAGACGTTAGGAACAAACAAGAGCAGAATCTAAAAAACACAACAGTGAATGTAACAGAAAAGAAGCCGGCTCACAGATACAAATAACAACGAGGGGCTACCGGTGGCGAGAGGGAAGGGCGGGCGGGCTGAACAGGAACAACCTCGTGGGATAAAGTAAGCCGTCAGGGTCTGTTGTGTAACACAGTGCACACAGCCGGTGTTTTATAATAAACGCAAGTGGAGCACAAGGTTAAAAACTGTGGATCACTACACTGTACCCTGCAGTACACAACACTGTACGCCAAGTCTACTTCAATTTGAAAAGAGAAAGAAACCCTGGCCTTCTGATTCTGGGACTTCCATGGGCTCCCCCGAGGGCTCACATGGAGGAGTAAAGCCTAAAATGACCTGATCAGTTTTGAAAGTGGGTGGCGGGGGCGTGTTACGTACACTCCCCACCACACACTGAGACTTCTGGTGAAGCTGAATGAATCAGGCACGAGCGAGCTGAAGGAAAGGCAACCTGAACACTGGGGCAAAACAAGCCCGCGCGTCCGTGCGTTTGCCCTCAGTCTCTTCAGCCGCGTTCAGCTCTGTGACCCTAGGGACCCACCAGGCTCCTCTGTCCCTGGGATTCTCTGGGCAAGAATACCGCAGTGGGTTGCCGGCCCTCCTCCAGGGCATTTTCCCGACCCAGAGATCGAATCTGCATCTCCCGAGTCTCCTACGTCGCAGGCGGATTCTTTACCACTGAGCCACCAGGGAAGCCAAATCAGAGATCAGATCTCCGCAAATGTGAAAAAGACGTGAACAGAAGGGACCCTGCAAACGTGGACAGAAAAGCGAGACGGCCACCAAGGGAGAAAGCGGCAGTGGACTCCCGCCTCGGAGCACACACAGCCACAGGACACCGACGAACTAAAACAGGTGTGAACGGCAACACTTCAGAACCTTGAGGTGAAAATAAGGGAGGGAGAAGGGCTTCAGGACGTCTCCTCAGGAAGCTAGTCCTAACTGAGGAGATGGGTACGCTCAAAGCCACAACAACTGAGAACTTCAGACTGTGACCAAGAAGGAAGCCACCAAGAAGGAAGTGTCAGAAACCAGCCACAGAGCGGGAGGGGGGATCTGCCCCTACCAAGTGGCAAAGAGTCAGAATCCCTAATATATAAAGAGCAACAACCAACTAACAATTAGACCAACCACCCACAAGAAATTGCAAAGACAGAAACAGGCATTTCCCAGAAGGAGACACAGAAGCACACAAATACAGGAAGAGATGCTCACTCCACGGGTGACCAGAGACAGGAAAATGAACACTGTCACCAGAGAGAGACACCCTGAGAGGCCTGGCGGCTCCCAGAGCCGGCAGGGGTGTGAGCACCAGATGACTGGTCCTCTGCCGGAGAGAGCGGAGGCGGGACAACCCTCAGGAGACCATCCCGACGTCCCCTGGAAAGTTTAACAGGCTGACACCCAGCCGTGCCACACTTTGTTGTTGTTGCTAAGTTGCTAAGACTCTTTGTGACCCCACGAACTGCAGCCCGCCAGGCTCCCCTGTCCTTTATCAGGCCGCGGAGTTTGTTCAAACTCATGTCCGTTGCGTCATCACCTTACTTCTTCATAAATGGTACTGAGAAAACCCTGCCAGTGGGCACCTGCAGAACCGTAGGTGAAGGTTCCAGGCAACACTGGTCCCAGAGCAAAACCTGGAACCCACCCAAATGTCCACCAAGAGGAAAAGGCAAGAGAAACTGTGGGATATCTGAGTGACAGATGGACACACAGATTGGCTGAACCTGAGGAAATAACGTGGGTGAAGAAAGTCAGGGTACAGAGACCAGACCACACAGACAGAGGAATGATCCAGCTCCAGACCGTGGCTCCCCGGGCGACGTGATGCGCATTAAAGGTGTGAAGAGAGGGAGGGAGACACAGGGCAGGAGAGCAGGCATCTCCTGGGGAGGGGCCTGGAGGCGGCTGAGAGCGGCAGGCAGCCTCCACGAGACCGGCCACGCGCAGGTGGGTCGCGCTTGGGTGGGGCTCGCAGCCCTACACTGGGCGGGGGGCCCACATGTGTAAACCACAGACACACGTACGCTCCACCTGTGTTCTTTCATACACAGCGATGTCTGCACAATAAAAAGAACAGTGAGAGCTTCGTGTTGGCGACTCTGCCCCAGGGGCCACCCTGGCCCCCGCCATGGGTAAAGCCGCTGGGACGGCGGGCGTGGGGCTCCCTCCGCAGGACATCCAGATCCCAGCTCTTACCTCTGTCACTTTGGGCTGAAGTATCAGTGCTTCGGGATTCATTCGAGGGATGTCTATGTGGATCTGGAGACAGAAGAGAAAGACACATGGATTTTAAAAGCTGACCACTGTCGCGGCAGGCGTGATGATTAAAACAGCGGCTCTGAGTAACAGCAGCGGGTGTGCTCAGGATCTTGCCTGCTCTCTCTGGGCCAGGCATTCTCCTGGCAGGGGGGAAGGTTCCATCCGCCTGGCCCCCCACCCCGTCCCGGCACGACAGCCTTGCTCCACGCTTCCCAACAAGGTAACGGCGGCTGGCTGACTAGAAACAGAGCAGGCCCTCGGCTATTTAGTAACAGGATCCATAGCAATTAGTAAGCATTGATTTCCAGCCTCTGACACAGGGAGCAATTCGAGTACATCAATAGCGTACAAGTTTTCGGCCGTGACAGCTTCTTCTTGGAACCTTGGAACACGGTTTTCTGCGCTGTACACAGTCCTCGGGGGAATCCAGGGCACTGCTCAGAGGCAGCACTTCAAAAGCCCTGGGAGGAACAGGGGGCCCCTCTTGACCGCCATCAGACAGGAGTCATCACAGAGCACGCACCCAGCGGTACCTCCGGCTCCCGTAAGCCTGCTCAGGGCGCCTAGCACCCCGCGTGAACGCCCCGCGGCAGCCAACGCTACCGCCATCCCCATTCACCAAGGCACACGGCCACACGGGCCGAGGGAAGGGGGGCGTCGTGATGCCACGGGGAGGGGGCTGCGATGCAGGTCCACGCCCGTCCTTGCCCGTGACCACGAGGGTCCTGAGACCCACAGGGCCTGGGCCTCCTCACCGCCTTGCCAGCACCGTGGCCTTGCCCCAGCAGGCTCTGCATCCTCGCCCGTCAGAGCCCCGCCCCACCACTTTGAGGGCTGCTGGGGGATGCATGGCCCCAGAGCTGCACGCCTCTGACTGCGGAGCTGCTCCCACTCGCGGGGCCCACCCTGGACTCTCCCCTTGGGGGAGAACCCGGAAACCCATTGCCCATCAGTGGTCCCAAGGGAGGCAGTGAGACTGCCCAGGGTGAGAACTGGGCTGGGGTCAGGGGCCAGCAGACTAGCAAGTTCCGGGAGCAGGGACTACAAGGCGATAGGGAAAGTTGGAAAGGAGACGGCATCAGAAGAAGACAAGAAACGACCTGACTCAGACCCGCTGAGCAACGCGGGGAGGGATCTAAATGCCGAGATGCGCAGGCACCCCTGGTTTGGGAAGAAGACCCCGAGGACGAGGACTATAGTCTGCTGGGGCCGGAGCCCTGCGACTGGCCACATGCAGGAGACCAGAACCCTCCAGGCCGTGACCAGGGTGTCCGCCAAAGCCACCTCAGAGCACTGACCCCGCGCCATCAGAGCCACGGGGCACGCCAGGGGCCAGCACAACCTCTCTACCAGAGGAGCTGCCCGCCACGTGCTGGCTGGGGGGCAGGGCAGCGCACCCCAGCACCAGCTCGGCACGCCTCGCCTCCACACACAGGACTGGGCCGGCTGGGGCGGCCACGACGTCCTCAGAACCCGCAGGGCGGGGAGGACACGCTAGGTGAGCTGGGACCGACTCTTCATGCTTTGGACGTGACAGCTTCACCCACAGGGTGAGCAGAAACCGAGAGAATAGAGGGCAAGAGAGGGCAGGAAGCAGACGGGGTCCTGGCCGCCCAGGGCTGTGCCGGGCCAGGCCCGCGGGCAGACAGGCGGCCAAGGTCAGCTCATGGGTCAATCCCCAAGAGTGGGCAGCAGGGAGCGGAAACCAGGGTGCCCAAGTCCCAGAGCCGGGCCAGCTCCATCTTGACCTAACAGAGCGCCTGAAACGGCCATGCAGGACAGCCCAGGGTCCACCTCCAAGAGGCAGGCGCACTCGGCCCAGAGCAGGCAGGCCCCAGCAGCGCATCCTGTGCTCGGTCATACTGACACGAACGTAGAAACATCCGAGGGACTCACAGTAACGGGGGGCTTTTTATTACCTATCACAGTAACTGACTAAAGATGCATGCAACTTGTCTTTAATTAACTTTCCCTTAAGAAATTCATAACAGAACACAGCCCGGTAAATCCTGTAGATAGATGCTGGTGTCATCCTGTGGACGTCTTTTTCTGGAATAAAAACATGGCAAAAACACAGGCAAAACAATAATAAATGTACCCACTCACGAAAGCCAGCAGAGTGGAAAAATAGCCAGGTAAGCCGGCATTTCCCTGACCCAACCCACATTCAGGCTGCATCAGAACTCGGTTTCCCAGGGACGGGGGCAGCGCCTGGGGCCTGGGAGCCGCAGGAGTTGCAGACCGAGGACGAGTCCCAGTGCGGGCGGCAGGGCCAGAGGCCGAGGAGAGCCCACCCTGGAGGGCGGGGAGGGGTCCCTGCCGCCTCCCTGCCCCCACCACGAGTCACTCTTCCCCTAGGGCTGCCAGGGCTCCCCTATGGGGAGAGTGCTGTCCCAGAACCTACTTAAAGGACCCGTGATGATCAGGCAGGGGAAGGCCTGTCTCGGGACCCCTGGGCAGCACTGCGCCACACTGCCAAGGAGACCTGGGCGTCGGCGTCTGAGCGGAAAACTCAGCAACGCTCCTGCACCCAGAGGCCGGGTTTGTCAGAGGTCATGCTCCCTGACACGCCTCGGGAAACCCAGACGCTCATCTCAGAGCGCGGGGCAGGACTGCCAAGCCCTAACTGCCTTCCTGTTGAACGGCGGCACAGACCGTTCTGAATTCTCACACTGTACAAAGACAATGAGAATTAGGGAGGCCTCCAGAGATTTCAACAGCAAATTCTGGATGCACGGTGAACCGTAAATCAATTTTAAGTATTTTTCCCATTATGCACACCATCTGTCAACTGACTATTCAAGAGGCCATAATTATACCCATTTTGTATTAAACTAAATAGCTAAATGATAAGCTGACTACACCTCCACTATGGACGGAACTGCGTCCCTCCAGAGCCAAGCTGAGCGTACTCTCTCAGCGTAAGCCACGCCCCTGAAGGCAGCAAAGGACAGCGCCTGGGGGCCCAGGGACTCACTCCTCTGACCTGACCCAGAGGGATGTCCACCCGTGACCTTCAGGTCACACGATCCCTGAGTCACAGGACACTCTCCACCCAGGGCTCCGGGCTCTCTGTTCTGCAGCTCCAATGAAAATACCTTCCCACTCCTGTAGCAGGAACGGGAAATGCCCAAGTTGCCACTATTCGGGGCAATTCACCTTTATCAGGTTTCACATTTACTTATTTGCTAGAAAATAAAGGTCTGTGACCCAATCAGGGGCCTTCCACCAACAAGAGAGACGTCACCAAATGAAAGAACTTCGAGTAACAAGAAAAAAGAAGACGTGTTCCCACCTGTCTATAGGTGTCCTGGTGAACCTCATCATTCCTGGAATCGTAATAGTGATCAATAAAAGCAAAATATTCTTTCTGCTTTCTTTGGAGAGTGGCTGGTCTTCGGTCTACATTGGCAGGAAGGTAACCCTATGTGAGAAAAAAACACAGAATATACGGTTAAGAGTAACTCGTGGAATAAGTAAGTATATACGGTTAATGGTAACTCAAGGATGGCATCACCGACTGAACGGACATGAGTTTGAGCAAACTCCGGGAGACAAGGGAGTCTGGTGAGCTGTGTCCACGGGGTCGCAAAGAGTCAGACATGACTCAGTGACTGAGCAGCAACGCCGACTCACGGAGCCTCTGTGAGAAATCTTTAATCAAAGGGCTCACATCTTTTCTTTCTTTAAAAACTGCATTCTGTTTTTTCTGACCATGCTGCACCACATTTGGGATCTCACTGATAGTTTCCCGATCAGGGATGAAGCCCGTGCCCCCTGCAGTGGAAGCACAGAGTCTTAACAACTGGACCAGGGAATTCCCAGAAGGCTCACATCGTGAAACGAGCGTGGTGCTCTGAAACGCGATAGAGGGGAGGACAAACAAGTCTCGGGAAAAGGGACATAAGAGGAAAGCAGCGAGCTGAGCCGTCGGGTGCCGCAGCCCCGCCCGTGCTCCCCAGGGGTCTGCGCGGGCACTGCAGCCTCCCGGGGGGTGAAGAGACGGGCGGGCGCCCGGCGGCGGGCTGGCCGAGAGACGAAACCCCATCTGGGCGTGCCTCGTACAGCTCAGACAGGGCAGGCGTCTGCAGGCCCGACAGCTATGCATGTGTGTGCTTACACGGGTGTCCACGGACACACACACGCATACAGACACGTGTGTGTCCCTGTGTCTGTGTACACACACATGTGCGTTTTCTCCTCTCTCCAAAGACTCCTGGATCTTGGCAGCCGCAGTCCCGGTCTAGACTCAGCGAGGGTCAGGCAGCGAAGGGCGGCCACGAAGAGCCCAGACAGCTGTCTTCCATTTTCCACTTCTTCAGTCAACACTACTGCCGCATCACACCCAGCGCAGAAGGTTCCTGCTTCACGGAAGCGGTTCCGCGACAGGGGACAGAGGTGCACAGCTGTGTGACGACTGCCCATGAAGATCAGAGCTCCCCGTCAGCCCGAGTCCATCCCGGCGCCCCCCTCGGCCAGCAGGAGCGGGGAGTCACTCCCTCTTCCCCAGGCATCTCGGCTGCCACCCCAGAACCGCAGGGAAATGGAATCGCGGGGACCTGAGCCCGGGAGCAAGGCTGCCCTCACCCCGCGCGCTGTCTTTCTGTCTAACTGAAATGCCGCTGATTACAATGTTGTGCCAATCTCTGTACCGCAAAGTGACTCAGCTACACACAGACACACATTCTTCTTTTATATCCTTTCCCACTGCGGTTTATCCCAGGAGATGGGACACAGTTCCCTGGTCTACAGCAGGGCCTTGTTGTTTTCTCAGTCTAAATGTAACCGTTTGCATCTACCAACCCCCAACGCCCTGGCCTTCCCCCTCCCTCCCTCCCCCATCCTCCCCAGCAACCACAAGTCTGACCTCTCTGTCTGTGGGTCTGTTTCTGTCTTGTAGATAAGTTCATTTGTGTCATATTTTAGACGTCAACAGATGAATGGATAAAGAAGATGTCATATATGTGTGTATATATACACGTACACACACACACACACACACACACACACACACACACACACGAATAACGGAATATTACTCAGCCATAAAAAAAGAATGAAAGAATGCCATTTGGCAACACGGATGCAACTAGAGGTTATCGTCCTGAAAGTGAAGCCAGAAGGAGAAAGACAGATGCCACGTGATAGACCGCTGTCTCCAGAGGTTCTTTCTGAAACCAGCAGTGGCTCCCCCCCACTTTCTCCCTGAGTGGAATTTCCAGGGTATGGTTAAACCAGTCGGTGAAGCCACTCACTCTTTGCTGATCATTTGAGTTGTTTCTAGTTTGGGGTTATTTTAAATAACGACTGCTATAAATATTCTCGTACAAGGCTTTTATGATATACACTTGATTTCTCCTGGGTAACTGGGTCATAAAGTAGGTGTATGCTTAATTTTCTCAGAAACTGCCGGATCTTTTCCCAGAAGGATGATACCGTCTTCCATACTAACTAACAAGGTCTGAGAACCTTAGAGTGTTGTCCATCTCTAGACATCAGGCCTTGCCAAGGGCTTTTACTTCATTTCCCGAATGATTCACGATGTTGAGCATCTTTTCACAGACCCTCTGCCACTGCTTCTCTTCTCTGATGAAGCGTCTATTCAAATCCTTTGCCCGTTTTTTTAACCAGTCACTTGCTTTCTTTACTGAGTTTTATGAGCGCGGTATACATTTGAGATGCAAGTCTTTCTGTCAAACACATGCACTCTGATTACGTTCTCCTGGCCTGTGGCTAGCCTTTGTAATGTCTCACACAATAGCAGTTTTAAATGTTCATGAAGTCCAAAGGACAAAGTTTTCCTTTTATATTTATATTTAGCGGTTCTTGTGTCCTGCATAAGAGGGATTTTCTCCTTGCTTTTCTCCTAGACGTTCTGAAGCTTATCCGCTGTGTGTCCCTCCTCACCCCTCAGGCATCCCTTCACTGGTCACTTCCTCAGGAGGGTGGACGTGGCCCAAGCGGGGCCCGCTCACCGCTCATACAGCCCCCCAGCAGCACTGGCCTGAGAGTCACTGAACCCGTCCCCAGCAGGCACCTAAACTTGCAGTGAGAGATTTCACCTAACAGTGGACAAGTGAACAAACACAGCAGCGGTGCCGCCCGCTCTTCAGGGTGTCTCCACGTCCGCAGTGGATGTCGCCGTGTTTGCTGTTAAACGTCTGTGCACCCTTTGCCAAACAGCGCCCTGAAGAGCCTCTGGGCACCCCATCTGAGGCTCTTCCTTCAGGGTGAGTAATACCCTTCCCTCAGGACAAGCCTTGATGGGCCAGTATGCCCCACCATCCCACCAGCTGCCGTGACGGACAGGTTCGGGCAAGAAGGGGGAACCAGAAGCAGGCACAAAAGCCAGGAACAGGGCATCTCTGCCTGCTGTTTGTGAATCAAAGAGAACGTGCAGTCTGGAGCTGTGGCAGCCATCCTGGGACCACGAGGGAGAACCACGAGCAGCAGATCCACCAGGAGGAGCTAACTCAAGGACAGCTGTGCCTCAGCCTTGAGGACAAAGTCAACCTAAGTCCAGCCGCCCCTTCTCTGCTGTGTGAGCACATACGTCCCCTTTATCCCCCTTTAGGCATCAGTTAGCATCTGTCTGTATCATAAACTACACACTCAAGCACATTTGTTCTAACACATTTGGATCACATCATTTAAACTCTTTAATAAACATGTATTGAAATATAACGTGTGTGTGCACACGTTGCCCAAATATGTGTGTGAATGGACAAAATGAACACATCTCAGGGCACCCTGGGGACCTCCCAGTCACTGACCCTTGCTCCTGACCTACTATCAGAGGTCTTCCCTAACTCCTGACACCTGATAGGTTTTGCCTATCAGGTTTCTAAACTTTACACACACAGAATCTTTTTCTTTTCTGTCTCATTGCTTAAACTCAGTGTTACATTTGAAAAATTCATTCATTCTGTAACACGAAACAGTACTTACTTTTCACTGTCCCATAACATCGCCATGTACAAAATCCATTGTGTTAACAAACATCTGGGTAGTGACCAGGTTTCTGCAATAAACGTTCTCATGCCTGCCTTTTACAGCACGCGACATCCATTTTGTTAGGTGTATACCAGGGAGCAAAGGTGGGCATACCTTTGACAGGTTTTGCTGAAGAATTTCCCAAGTGACTACACTCCCGTGCGAAGTACCCACTGGCCTCCATTCTTCCCAACACCGGGCAACACCACCTTTTCCTTGCAGCCGTGCTGACGGGCTCATGGAGGTATTCATCAGCTCGCAGGCCTCAGCTGCCTCTCCAGGCGCCTGTGGGACTCCATGTGCATCCTCACCCATGGGCAGCCCTTCACCTCCTGTTAGGCGGCCCGCCTCCCTCCTGATTCGCAGGCGCCTGCTGCACCGTCTGCATGGCAGGCCTGCAGTAAACATCGCCTCCTCCTGCCCATGGCTCTTCACCCATTAATGAGGTCTTTTGATGAACAGAAGCTCCTAACCTGAACGAAGCCCAATTTACTTTTAATGACTAGTCCTTTCCGTGGCCTTTTTAAGGAAATTTCCTCTCCAACATTCTGTTCTTATGTACCTCGACCCTGGCTCCCACTGACATAACGCTTTGTTCTAACGCGGGGCTCGGCAGACGCCAGCCCACCGCCCATGTCTGTAACCAGGACATCGGGGCACGAAGCCACACCTGTTTGCCCACGTGTGTGGCTGTTTGCACACGACTGAGGCAGAGCTGAGGAGTCGGAAAGCGACCGTGCGACCCACTGAAACACACGCTCAGGTACTTGCCAACAGGCCCTGCCCTGTGAGCCCTGGTCCCCAAAGCTACATGGCCTTCCACCGTATGAATGTCTTTATCACATATTTCTGTTAAACTTTTCCTTGATTTCTGAACATTCTGAATATTTTCAATTGTCCAGTACTCTAAAATACGTGGAGCTGAGCAATGTCTGATTTTTCCTGGAGTAAAATGTCTACAAGTGCATTGTCAGCTCAATGGGACACGGGATATATTTAAGGCTCTTGATGCTTTTTTCCCAAGTGACCCTGCCAGGAGGTGTAGCAATTTACACCCCAGCAGGCTTGTCACAGGTGTCGCCCGCCCTCCACCTTCTCTAGCAGTGAGGAGGAGCCCCCTGAAGAACAGTCGTCCTAAAACGCCTTCAATTAATTACAATCCATCAGAAAGGGGCACTTCTATTCCCAGAGCAGCAGCGGGTACAGCTGACAGATCCCTGCGAGCCAGCAGCAGGCAGCCCCATCACCGAGGGCAGGAGCGGCCACTGGTCCCACCCGCCTCCATTTTCTGGTCAAATGAGGCTCTTGTACTCCAAAGAGACCGTTTCGCACACTTACACCAGCGACAAAAACCGCCACCAGCCCCCAGCGTGGACTGAAGAGGTGGGCCACCTCCAGCGCCTTACCAGCTGGTAAAGCGCCCACCTAAGT